AGCCAATCGTATAGGGAACGAGAGCTTCCTTATATCTCTACAACTCATTTGTATCCAGCTACCACCGATGTTCCTTGTCCTATCTTCAATTAATTTAAATAGGTTTCCTGTGCCTACTTTATTTCCATCAGAATCTTGTATGTAGCAATCATATCCCCTCTATCTCTTGTCCTCCAAACTTTGAGGGTTCCCTCAACCTGTCCTTATAGCCGAGGCCTCTCGGTTCCCTTGCTAATAAGCTGCATACCTCTGAACTTTTTAAAGTTTCTTTTTTTCTTCACAAGGTGGGGGTTCCATGCTGGTTCTGCATATGATCCAGTAATGCTCACACACAGGCAGTGTGTATGGACCTGAAAGCCTCCTTATTTAGATTCTTAAATGATATTCTTAGGTTTGTTAACTTACCATCAGCTGCTGCTGTTATTCTATTCACACGAGCTTCTTGTGTTACTTCTGAGATTATGTCTACTCTCAGCTCGCTCTCTTATTGTTTTTGTGTAATTTGGTAGTGAGGGAGGAGGAGAATGCCGAGGTTTTAGCTTAATGATTCCAGAGTCGTCTCTATAAAGAGAACAACTTGAGAAAGATAAAGAAGTTGAGCGATCAATGCGCTGAATTTGACACGTCAGTGAGTCTTATATGAGGTTTACTAAATGACGCGTTTTACTAAAGTAACACCTTAGCATCCTCAGAAACAACGATATTACAAATGGATTGAGCGATAAAAAATAAGCTACCTAAGAGGTGGCACGGGCATGAATAGCCCCTAAGTTACTACAAATGAGTACAACTTTGTTATATATTCCAGACAGGTGTGAAGCAGCGAGCACGGGAGACATCTCCCGTCACGCAGGGTGCAGGCGCACCTCCACAGATCTCCAGTATCATTTAATGATACTAATAATGGCTCAAAAGGGCCACCACCTACGGGCTATTCGTGCCCGTGCCACCTTTCGGGTGGCTTAATCTTCGTCAATCGAAGCAGCGAGGGGGTTTACACCAGGCCGGGTGGACCAGGTAATCTTCCCCACCAATGAACAAATCCACTAAGGGCCGTGACGAGGATTCGAACCTGCGTTTCCCACGAATCTCAGTCGTCGGCTGTGGCAAGTAATGTGAGCTGGCAACCCGTTCTCGCACTTGCTTCTAGTCAATATTGGCTTATTTAATAAAGAAATAAAGGTTTCTGAGAGGGCCGGGAGTTACTAAAACAGGTGGTACACATCTGAAAAACTTGGGGCCCAGTAACTAAAGATCAACCCTGCACACCCTAGGTAACAACACACACACATACACAACCAGGAGGGCTGTGGGAGGGTTGAGAGGCGGGACCAAAGAGCCAGAGCTCAACCCCCGCAAGCACAACTAGGTGAGTACAACACACACACACATGTACAAAACAAAAAACACACAACAAATAATGAACACAATGCATCCCAAGAAAACACCGCGACAGACATTCTTTTTCGACACGAGCACCAGAAAAAAGTGTGAGCAACATCCCGTTTTTGGATTGGAAGAGGACGGAGACAATCTGGCTTGATTTATGCGAGTCTGCCATTGTTGTTGTGGACAGAAAACGAAGGTCCAGTGGAGGCTAGAGGCCAGGGTTCACAGTTTACTGGCGGCCCGCCATCACTGACTTCTCCCGTCTTCCTCAATCTTTTCTCAATCTCTCTTTTTTACTTCTTTTGTTCCGCCTTTTTTTCATTACATGTCCTCTCCTCTGACTTTTTATGCCTCCCTTTATTTATTCGATCTCTTTACCCAGGTAAAACTATAAATTAGAAAATACCACTTGGCCACGGGTTAGCCCTCTCCTCTCACAACCGATTGGTCCAAGGTTCGGTTCCCGGACAGGGTTAAACATTTAGGTAAGTTTCCTAATACTCCAACATGCCTCCGCTCCATTTCTGGGAAGATCAGTCGCTTGCTAGTTGAAGGGAGGGAGGGAGGGTTGAATGTCTCGCTTCCCGATTGTCCCTCGATAGAAGATGGTGGTGCATAGTCTCTCAGGTTTGGCGTCTTCTGATAATTACTTGCTAGGGGAAGGGGGGGGGGAGGACCACGATAAGCCCAACAGGTTTGTTGAGTACAACTTAGCAATTAGGCAGGGCATAAACTGGTGGCCCTCGCTTCCCTGTACTCAGTTTAGTAAGCGCCACCACTCACACCCAATGGATGTTGTTTGTTGTTTCAGATTTAGCTACTCAGGACGAAGTATCCATGTAGCACGGGCTATGGTGAGCCCGTAAGCCCAATGGAACAAAGTACAGTTTATGTACTATGGCGGTGTGGTGTTGCTTCACTCCACTCTCCACACGCAGGTGCCACGTCGGGCCTCCTCCCCCGGGATTGGTGCCTCACCTGCGTGAAGAGCCTCACCTCACCTGCGTGAAGTAAGAGCCAGTTTCAACACGTGACGGGAGACATCTCCCGTCACGTAGGGTGCAGTCGCATACCCCACAGATCTTCAGTATCATCTATTGATACTGGTGATGGCTCAAATGGGCCACCACTTACGGGCTATTCATGCCCGTGCCACCTTTTGGGTGGCTTAATCTTCATCAATCAGCTTCAACACTAAGCCACACGGGCTCCACTTCGTCTCTCTTTCCTCTGCTCCCATCAGTAACAGAGAACTACGGGCTCACCATAGCCCGTGCTACTTGGAACTTTTTGTTCCAGGTAGCGAATCTTTATCATCATCACTATCAACAAGTGTGACTATGAAAAACGTAATTAAGAAAATAAGAAACATTGATTTTTTTTGTAACCGAGGGATTGAGAAACATGAAAAATCCAAAATCAATCCAAATAATCCAAAATACTAGACTACCAAAATGATTTATTTCATTAATTTAAATACACCACCAAGTGTAATACATTATACGAACTCGTCGAAGCCACTTCCGTCCACAACTCCAAGACCAAACAAGACAAGGAACATGAACATAGAGGTAATGAGGTATGAAAGATTGGAAAGGGAACTATCAGGAGATATCATAAAGTAATTACGACTATATAGCACTGGGATGGAGTCAAGGATTTGGATGGGACGGGTACCGTGAGATGGATGGAATGGGAAGGGAATTTTCCCTTGATAATTCCCTTCCCTTCCCATTCCATCTCACAGCAACTTCTGTTGCTATCATCGTCACAATTTTTTGTTTATATTCAACTTCACTCCTATTCTATCCCTGTAGTTCCCTGCCCTTGTGTCCTAGCCCCACCATTCGTAGTGGTGGCGGCGTCCCCAACAGGCAGACTGGGCTCCACCAAGTGCCTGAAGGGGGCTAGCTTCATTAAGAACACCTACGACAACCCGCTTAACATTCCTTCACACTCGAGGACCTCGCCCCGTGAGGTGGAGAGCTCCTCCTTCACCCTCGGAGAACTTACACACCTGCTCCTCCCCTTAGCCGTTTTGTTATTGTTCTGATATTTTGTTATGGTCGATGTTCTATTGTTTCTACCGTTTTATTCTGATCTTATTACTGTTGCATTCTTTTATTGTTTTGTCGTTGCTTCTTTTGTTACAATTCTGTGGTTGTTGTTGTTGTTCTGCTCTTGCTACTCCTGAAGGATTCGAACTTGGAAAGCCTGGAGATATACATTATATATGTTTATTTCTGCACACAAATACACTGGTGGTGGGGCTGTGTGCGCCAGAGTACACACAGCAGGTGTACGAGGCGGAATGGCAGTTCAGATCACACGAGGGATGAGTCCGTGTAGCCCACTGTAGGGAAAATCTGAAACTGCCTGTATATCAGGGTTTAAAATAAACATTTAAAAGGGTTCGATTGCACAATATTTACCTGAGGGTCACCACGTTCAAGGTGGCCTCGACGAGGACAGGAAGCCGGCGGCTTGTTAAACGTTCCCTCGTTATCTGTGAAATTAAAAAATATATATAACTATCAATATAGCTCTAAATTTAAGCAAGTAATTATCAAGAGCAAGCAAGTCGAGAAAACTACTTGGCACTGTCGGAGTCTCGCGGGATATTTCAGAGCCGTGAATTTAATAATTTATTAAGAATTTAATAAGTTTCGAAGACCAGTCACCCAAACGTTCACACGGGGGTCGTCCTCTGATCGCTTACACCTGTGACCCCTGACCCGAGGCCGAGGTAGACCGTGTCACCAACTCTGACCCGTCACACCTTTATATAGCCCGAACTTAAAAGCACTCGCGGTAGCCTTCTCTGTGACTACATTATTCATGCTCTCGTAATGAGGTCCTTGTCGTGCTCGCCTCATCTACATATGCAACTGGATTTTACACACATTATTTATAATATATATTTTATGCAGCGAATCTGCAAACTGAGATTCTTTTATTTTTGGCATAGCATACCTCAGTCGTCACTGCGGTTACTGTCGCCAGGTCGAAGCCGCCGCCGCAGTCATCGCCAGGTCTAAGCCGCCGCCGCAGTCGTCGCCAGGTCTAAGCCGCCGCCGCAGTCATCGCCAGGTCTAAGCCGCCGCCGCAGTCATCGCCAGGTCTAAGCCGCCGCAGTCATCGCCAGGTCTAAGCCGCCGCAGTCATCGCCAGGTCTAAGCCGCCGCCGCAGTCATCGCCAGGTCGAAGCCGCCGCCGCAGTCATCGTCAGGTCAAAACTGCCGCCACAGTCATCGTCAGGTTGAAGCCCCCCACTGCAGTCATCGTCAGGTCGAAGCCGTCGCCGCAGTCATTGTCGGGGCGAAGCCGTCGCCGCAGTCATTGTCGGGGCGAAGCCGCCACCGCAGTCATCGTCACCACTGTGAACACTGCCGCCATGTCATTACCGTTGTCGACGTCACTCACCATAATGGTCGTCACACACCAGGTGTTTAAGGCTTCCATCTCCTCCACACACTTAAACAATGAAATCTTCTCTGTTGGCAAAGCTTTCACATAATATTCACCATACCTTCATCAAGTTCTACATTCTTCTGTAAACTATTGGTATGTCAAATAAACCAATCCTTTGCTTTAAGGATATAAAAAAATCATTAACAGTAAGATTCTCCTGTATTAGGACAGTCAGTCTACACAAGATGAGAGAAATGCGATACAGTTTAATAAGAAATATCTACCAGAAATAATACACACCAAGATGCTCACTAACCCATTGAGGACAAGCATGGGTTGGAAATTAACACAAGAGCTACCATAAGTTCAGAATAACCAATGTGAAAACAAGTGAAAATATTCAGCAACCAAAAAAAATCTAATTACAGTACTCAAAATAAGAATTATTTGTAACCCTTTAGCTTTATAGTTTGCTTGCTGATGCGAGGTAATTTTCGGAAATGTACAATGACTATTCCAAGTGATGCTACATTTAGATAAAGCTGGAACGTCATCATCAGCGGTGACTCGTGTAATGTACATTTCATTCAAAATCATGAGGAATGACTGCTAAGCAGAATCGACTTGGACCCTTTGTTTCAGAATGGCACACACAAGCTAACTACCTGGAGCATCTTATAATATGAGGATGGCATGGAGCACGTGCCCCCCAGGTAGTGACACTACAAATGTGTTACTACCCAGGAGTGTGGCGGCACACCAGGGGAACCAACAGGTGTGCACACCCAGCCCTCCTCCAATGCATGCTTCAAGTTACACTGGGTTAATATGAGTGTCTGAAAACCATCACAATAAGGTGGTCTCGCTCCTAACCTCAATCGAATGATGTCAGTAGTTGCAGCTATAGGGTTAAGGCTTTGATTTGAAAATTACAAATACAGAATCTTGTACAACTAAGAAGCAGGGATGTATTACAAATAATTATGGCAACAAATTCTAGCCTTCTATAGTCCCATTATATATAGAACTTATGTTTGAACATACTGTATAATGACATTAAAATTAATATATATGAAAGCATACTAGAAAAGAAAATATTACTTACATTTCAATGTGTTTTTTTTCATTTTGTAATGTTAAATCATGTAAAGCAGAATTTCTGCATAAATGCAAGCAGATATGTATTTAAATAACAGTACATGGAAAACAGCTTCTTATTGTCAATGTCTCCTCCTATACAACGTATGTCAAACAGAAGGCAATTTTATTGCCAATCATAAAAAAAAGGTTTCAGTAATAAGGAAGATGAGTATGATTGTCAATAATTCTCAGAGGCATACCAAAACTCAGCATTTTTCACTTAAAATGTGTTTATAGTGACAAAGGATATTGAAATAAAGAATTTTGCAATACATTTGCCCAAAAAATAGAGTACCAGGTACATAAAAATTCACAATATTTTTTTAAATAAAGTAGTTAACCTAAGTTGACAGATTGTAAGAGTGTATAAGAGAAATAGATATATATTCCTGTAATATATATCACATACCCAAGCTTCATATTAAAGTGACCAGACATTAGAGATCAATAGGATTAGACTATTCATCATTAATCACCCTAAAATGTAAGGCATATATATAGTCTAAATGGTATGTCGGTAAAATCGTAATTCATTACACAGTATTTTTCAACTTTTAATAAAAGAACATTGAGGTACTTCATATGGCTTTAATAAAAAAACGGTAGACAAGAATTTTAGATAACAGTGTTAATGAACAATACAGTACACCGAATTAACTAATTTTACTACATACCTTTACTACTGTGGCCTTACTGAATATATTCTTACAAAGCTACTATGATAAAGAGTGTCGGCATCACCCAAGGCATCCTTCTTATCACATGCAATGGTGATTGCAGATAGTGTACATAGCCCTACACTATGTAATTATTTAAAATCTTCCACCACTGTTTTGACAGTAGTAAAAATAAATAATTTTAAGCAAAAACTGTATACTACTAGGCAGTTTTCTATATTAAGAAATAGCTTCGCTATATTAAGAAATATCTTAAATACATTAACTCCTCAATTACCCTCTCCAAATTATAATCAAGAAGAATTAAACCAGTATGATTCTATTAGCTTAACATGTTAAATATGTCTTATAGAAACACTAAAAAGTTGTCTTCTAGACTACAGGAAAAGAAGACTAAAGCCAAATGTACTACAAGGCTTGGAGAGAAATATTTGTCTTTGACTGACAAAGGTCAGGAGCAATGGACGGCAAGCTTACAGAACCCTGAAAGTCTACCAATCCTACCTTCGGAGCCGAGTCTATTCACTTGTTTAACCATACGGTATTACTATTGCTAATTGAGAAATATTTATAAACATTGAGTGAAGTGAGCTGATGCACTTATGGCCATGTAATATTGTACTGAACACCTAAAAACAAATATTGTGGCGTTAGCAAACACGCAATGAAATTCTATTTAATGCTCAAGAACAAAATTAAAAAATGTAAATCTCTTTTCTGGATCATTGGATTATTTCTAAAAAAAAAAAAAAATCTAAGAAATGAGCTACTTTATTTTGATCATAGGATATTTAACATGACCCAATAAAAACTTGCAAATTAGTACTATATGCTCAAAATATTTAAATGTCACATGACATAACACTTTTTGTATTGTAGACATGTTTACTCTTAAGTCGTGAAACATTTGAAAACACTTTACATATTGTAAAATATAATCCTAACAGCTGGTCATAACAGATTTACACACAACAGCTGCTTTATATTTTCCGGCTTATGGACCTCAGGATCTAGCCAAAATTCCAAATTCCAGGTTCAGTTTTGCATTAGCGTACACAAGTTGTGGGGGAAAAGTATATTACGACTCAGATATGCTACTACTGCAATTTTGTTTGCATGAGAATATCTCAACTATTACTGTACAGTATAAAGAAAAACAATATTAATTATGTTGTACTCAAAATATTTCTATACCCAGTAATTAGCCTGCAAAACTGAAAACTAAAATTGCACTACCAAGCTGTTAAATTGCAACTCCTGCAAAGTTGCAGCAGATGAGAACTGACACTGGTACACAGTACTGTAAACCATATAACCTTAAAGAAAACTGCATTTACTTTACAGCCAACCTAACAAAGTTATCAAATTTATCTTAGTGCAGTTGAGATTCATTTCCTTATAGAGTACTGCAATGTTAAGAACATCCAACCCCTGGCACTTGTAAAATGACTTACCCAAGACAAAAAGTTTGAAAATTCCAACATACTTAATCCTCATAGTGAAAAAATAATAATTTTTCCTATATTCAAGGTTAAATAACATTTCCTATAATGAACCAATACAAAAGAATCTCTTATATAAAACATTAATGAAATTTAGCAACAAGATTTAAAACAAAATGTTGCACTCCCAAGTAAATGCCACTCTCTACTGGTAACAAAGATCTTTCTAAGATACTGCAAAACGATCCAAAAAAAAATCCTCCTCATAACATATGGGTATACTGTATTCAACAATGACATTCGAATGTAATGCAGTTTCAGCTATTCTTCTGTTTGCATTAAACTAACTTATAGATTTCAAGACTTACTAATATTACTGCACTAACTCTAAAACACTGTTCACTAATGGCAAAACAAAACTATTGACAACTAAACAAAATTAGTTTATAAATAACACACATAAATTACTGTACCTTTCTTTCTATCAAGCAAATCATATTTCTACATTATTTACTAAACCAATGCAGTACAATACATTCACCCCAACAACAACAGTGATGACTTCACAGGCCTCATAAAAGAAACAGAAGAGACCTATTATTCAGATAGATTAACAGCTCTATTACCAAGAACACAAACTCTCTCTACCATGTCCAATTGCACATCTGTTTCATAATAAATTACACTATTAACCCTTAAACCGCTAACTGTTAAATAGCAAACATCCCCCAGGGCACTCGAGAAAAAAATTGTTCTGAATTTTTTAGTCTTATGACATTGTTAATTAGCCTTCAGGAAGCACAAAAATGAAAATAAAAAGTCTCTAGCTCTTGTGGTTTAGCTGTAGTAGCCTGGAGAAGTTGCATATTTTTAGTTGAGGTGCCGCATAGGAATAACTGATATATTTTCATTGTTTCTCTATTTTTAGTTTCTCATCCTAACGGGTTGTATTTGTGTGTCAAAGTTACTGTCTATTATGTAAAACTTTGAAAATATAAGTATGTATGGATATACAAGTATAGATATAAAAGACACCCACATACTTGTTCATAATAATACATGTACAGGTATATATATATATATTTTAAGCTTAAATCTTAAAATTGCATATAGCACACATTTTGCCTCAAATATATACATGGTAATCACTCATTTGCTGTTGCTAAAAGTTTAGTGTCTCCTCTATGGCTGCCCTAAACATTCAGACACTGGATGGTGATATTGCCAAGCAAAGGTCACCATTTTCTCACAAAGGCCCTAGAGGGAAAGTGAGGGACTCGGGATATTTTTTTTTAAAGATGGAGGATGGTTACTGTGGTCTGAGGAAGCAGATGGGAGCTCTATGTATGTGCAGGACTTAACTTTTTAAATACGCAAATCATATATATATGATTTGTGCTGTTTTGCGAGTTGCTCCCATCATATACGTATTGCACTGTTTAAGGGTTAAAGTTATGCGTTGTTCATAATGATAACTATGTAACAATTACTTTCACGTTTTAGTCAATATTCTTTATTAGACACCCAGCCCACAAATCTGAAAATGAGGAACCGAGGACGTTTCAGTCTGTCGTGGACTATTATCTAGTTGTCGAACAGTATTAAGTAGGCAACTTTATAATTGTCCAGGATGGACCGAAACGTTGTCAATTCTTCATTTTCAGATTTGTGGGTTGGGCATCTAATATTCAGCCATGTTATTGTGACTTATCGTCTGCATTGTTTTTGGGAATAAGCATACATGGCAATTGCTTTTATTTTGGTTAATGTTCTTGATAATGCATGTTCTGATAATCAAGACAATGTCTACATATGCAAGTGCTTACTCTACTGCCACATTACTTGAGCAGTGATAATATACAAGAATGAAAAGGAACTTATTGCAAGTATGATGCATAAACCATGATAAGAAGTACAGTACTCTATATGGCACATTAAAATTGCTCATTGGTCTGAAGCCTAGCGAGTTTTATTTTAAATAAAAAAAAAAGCACATCATGGAATCCTTATGCAAGTCACTCACTCAGCAGCTGAAGAACTGGATGTGTACTAAAATGTTAGCAAAACTAATCAAAGGTAATATAATGACTACCATTATACAGTAACTTGGAATATCATTAGTAATAAGTTGTCTTTATAATTCAGTATGTATAAACTGTATGCTGCAAATTAATCTTTATATAATGCACAGCTAAAATATGCTTAATCTGCAACAACAGTATTATAATAATTAGTAGACGGCATACACCAATTATTAATATTAAAACGAAGACAGTATCGAGAGAGAGCGCCCAAAAGGAACAAGATAGCAGTGACCTAGAACAGAGGTATGGTGTTAATGAGTCCATACATACTGCCCAAGAAGAGAGAGAGAACAAGTGAACAGTAATCATCATGTTTCAAATACCTTCAAGTCCTGAATAGCCAAGATGCAAGTTGTCCAAATACTGAATGTAACCACATCCTGAACAGTAAATATTAACATTATTCTTGGTTTAAATAGTCACATTTCTAAATTGTAAAATATTGTCTTGAAGTCAGTCTGAGAAGCAAACACCTGCTACCAGACATGTGATGGTTGGTCCATTTATATTTAATTACATTTCAATATACATTAAAATGTTTGGATTCAATCAAGAATGGAAGAACTTCTACATGGAGAAAAACAGGCACTGTTCTTTTAACATTAGTAATCACAGCAGTGTCCCATTTGGTGCCTGTAGCTACAACACATTTCAGTGTAGGCTGCTATTATATATTTGAACTCTTTGGGTCCATATTTTCATATTAACCTGTATTTGTCAACAAGCCATACTGATTTCTTATTTTTACTCTACAAGCAGTCAGGAAATTCAATTAAATCGGTGCAAAATCTTCTAACGAGTTTGTAGGTACAGTACTACAAAGACAAGTCAGTATCCATAAAACATCGTGTCTGATGCAGTTAACAAATTTATTATTTACTAACAATGTGTCTGCAGAGAGTCAAATAGAAAGTCAATAAAAATGGACCAGAAATTATAAAAACCTTAAAATTAAACACAAAAATCATTAGATCATATGTCAAACAAAAACAGTAGCCACAACTACATTCATGAAGTCAACCAGGATGATCATGTAAGCAAGCAAGCAAGCAAGCAAGCAGACAAGACAGAATGAAGGAATGCACGAGATTACTATACTGCAGTTTGATAACCTATAACATTTTCTGTTGGGTTCTGTAATAGCAATTAGAATTGTCCTACCCTCAATTATAATCTTTTCTTCATTCTACTTACACACAATGTACATGTGATAATGAATTCTTATTAAGTGTGCATCAAATTAAAGCTTCCTAGAGACGCATTAATTCATGTCGCATCAAGGAAATTGTCATTTTCTTATAGCATGCTAAAGGAATGGTCTCCGCTACATCATAAACAAGGATAGATTTTGACATTCTAAAAATGGCAATAGTCTAACAAATGCAATAATGGAATGGCTGCATTATGCACAAGAAAATTAAATTTGGTGGCTTAGTAGAAATGGGAACATTGTTAACAAACAAAACCAATTTCACAGCATCTCTATATTGTACATAAATTAAGTAGTTATATAAGGAAAGAACCACGCTCAGAAGATTCGTATATAAATAAGAATATCTGAAATAAAGTAATTACAATATAGTTATTGGCTGCAGCATCTATGCTTGACGAAAGCTGAAGACAATAAATAGCAACTAAAGACAACTGAGAAAACCTACACAAAAAAGCATCCAAGGACTTAAAAGCACTCAAATACCAAGTACTAGCCTGAGGTACTTCCAAAGAAGTCAACAAATAAGTGATACCTTTTATAATTGTCAAACATGCTGTATGCATGCACTACAGCAACACTGAAGGAACATTGACATTTTTTGGTAAAGGAAATTTACAATTCATGCATTGTTCAAATCTTTTTAAAATTGATCATCATAACTGTAGCTAAACAAATAATCGAGTAAGAAAATTATTAATCAAGATGCATATTATACAGTGCACCGGATCATGCACACACCCTCTTTGCCCAGTACCCTTTACTATGACTTTCCCTGAAGTCACAATTTTAACCGTACAAGCAAATCAAAAAATTTTCTACTTCATCTCAGATGGAATGTCAAAATTAATTAACAAAATTCATATTGTCACAACTTATTTTCAAAGAATATGAACTGCACAAGAAAAAGCCTTTATTGTACGAGCCTTCATCAAATTTATTGAAAAATACACCAAATACAATAGTGCATACAGTAACCATACCATACTCCCCATTGCAACAGGGGGAAGAAGGCAGACTGAACGACGAGGTCAGATGAAGTGGGGGGGGGGGGGGGGGGTTAATTATTTACTGTATTTCCATAACACTTGTCTGAAGCACGACTCTGCCCAGAAGCATTTTTGTAGTGACATACTGTTGACATTCTCTCGGTCAAGGGGTCAGTCCGCCACGCCGTTGAGGAGGGCAGGATAAGAGTAAACTGCCAATTATGGTAATTTCAAAACATGGCCAATTCACAAATATTCAATTAAATGAGGCAGATGTACCCTTCTGCCTCAGTTTGTGGCAATAAGTCGGACTAAAGACTTGCCATAAATAGCTACAGTACCTGTACTGTGAGTGGGTCACGTTTTTGCTGGGGACATCAATTACAAAAATTATGCAATACTTTTTTTTTTTTTTTAATGGAAGTCATATACTGAACTGCTTAAAAGAAAATTAATGATGTTTGCAAATGATTTCCTTACCGTATAGCAATCCTATAGATCCCGTCGATCTATAGGATTGGGTAGATATAAATAATAATAGGGTAGATATAAGTAATACCTGCCTCATATGGGCCAGATGGTCACTGTTCCTTAGTGGCAAGGAAAATGTGTGTCACCCTTTAACTGCACCACCTCCCACATGCTGCACTGGGGTATACTCTACCGTAAAAGCACTTGGCTTTAGTGTATGTTGCTATAAACTGGATATAGCTTATGCCAAGTGGAATGTCTGCAGTAAAGGCTCGTCTTGGGTTGGGTTTCTCTTTACATTTCTGCTGACAGCAATTGACCAACATCCAATAAAGAGAGCATAGTATACTGGGTAGAAATATTTTCCAACACAAAATTAAATAAACCCATAAATCTGATTTGCTTGTACATTCCCACATATACAATAAATACTATTCTACAACTTGCACAAAGCCTTTGGTAATATAATAAACTAAATAATTTAAGATCCTACCATTATGTACAAGAATATAATTAATAACCTACAGTATTTTATTATACTGTATCCATGTTAAGTAAATATTGCTAGAGCTTCAATATAATTTAGAATTCTACTTTCACACTTTTTCACAATACCACTCCACAAAAACTGTCATATTAAAAATAAAACTATTCTCCTTGTCCCAACTCTGGAGTTCAGTGCTGGTCTCACATTAAAACAGACGACCAATGATGCTATTGTTTATGAAACCAATCACCTATAAATATCTGTCCAAAAGAATGTTAAAAATGACCTTAATAAAATATTGTTAACTACTGGATATTTAACAACAAGCTCTATTACAACCAATTTGGTCAGGCATGATTGTCTAACACAGCAAAATTGATTTATACAATTAAAAAAATGTCTTATTTCTCCAGGTGGACCAGCGATTGCCCATCATCTCGTGTCCACCTACAACACACCTTAACTTATCATACGGACTCGTGAAGAGAAACATAACTCGACAACGTGTACCTTCAACTCAAGTGACCCGACATACTAGCACAATAAACTGCTGATAGAATAAATTTAGACAAAAACCTTTTCTTCAAGATGAAATCCTCACATGCACAAATTTGTTAAAGTGCGTAGAATATTTGGTGCATATCTTATATGTATATATATTTATACGCAAAGAATTTTATTTTGCATAAAGTAAATTTTCTTAAAATAAAATGGGAACACTGAAGCAGCAGCACAAAAAATCAAACACATAGCAGTAGTCATCTTTTTAAACTGATGTTTTTTGCCAAACTACTTTCTCTAGTTATGAACACTCTAGCTCAATTTATAAACCTTAACAAGGAGAAACCTGACTAGAATATCATGAAAACATTTTCTCTATCTTACTCTAGAAACTAAAACTGCCTTAGTAAGGTACAGGAGTGGGAATGTGTTTTCAAAGTCATCAGCATATTGGACAAAATTTGACCAGACCTAACATGCCTGAACTTACAGGCACCTACATTAACACTCCGGCACTTGTACTAGTCCATACATGCACCAACCCCTCCTATACATGCACTATCCAGTCAAGTTGCACGAAACCAACCGTACATTAGTAAATAAATTTAAACTTTAATAGATGCATGGAAACAAAAGGTAACTACTGCTAGTGAGTTTGTTAAAATAGTAGGGAGCATCAAACATCTTAATTACAAATTGCAAAAATTCTCATTTGCTTAAATTTTATAAGAATAATCACACTGATGCGCTTCACCTATAAATGCAATGATTACTTCAGTGCCCTCCAAATATTTCTGTGCACTTCTAATGTTTATCTGTTTACTGTTTAACACATTTACTATGTCCAGTTTCTATGTCTTGCATTTATGCTTGTCACATGTTAATTCTGTATGCCTACAATGTTACACACAATAGTCATATGCCCATAAATTATATTAAGCATGTAAGCTAACATTGTGGATGATGAAATTTTGGGTTCAATAGGACTACATGATGAACTAGCGGCACTTTTGAGCACTACAGACTACCGAGTTTGAAGGTTACACCAACCACTGCCAAGCAGGAAGACAATGAACAAATTTAAAACTATTGTTTTAGTTCATTAATTTAAAGTAATGTTGATTCTATAGTTAATATCTTTCTTAATTTCTCAGTAAATTATACAACATAATAAGTTTTCTTCCTGCTCAGCTTGCCAAACACAGCTACTATAGGACATGAAGGAGGGTATGTGAGCATTTGGAATACTTAGGCACTACCTACTTATGTTTTCTAATTTATGCTACTCAATACTACTGTATATTGATACAAGTCCTGAGGCATTGATGGCAGCTTAAAGTTATCACAAATACAAGCTAGAAAAGGTTTTAAAAGTTCAACAAATACAATTTACTTGAATTTGACGAGCATTTCTCAATATCTTTACTTCATCGTATCAAATATGAATGCCCTTAATGAAGTTTCATGTTGTGTCAAGTTTAACGTTACATCACTTGCTCAAAACAAGATAAAAGCAAATTAAAGATCTTTTATTATGTTCAAGCTTATGAGCTTCAGGCCGCCCCCTTTACTTATGGTTATAGTCAGTATAAAATCAACATTTATATTACTATCACAGTAATAGCAAGTATTGAATGATTTATTAACTGCTTAAGTGTATATTTTTACCTTGCCCCATAATTATCTTATTACCTTATAAAGAAAAACAGCAATCATATAGCTTTTAAGCTCCAAAGGAATGACTTTGACGCTGCTTACTGAATGTAATATCGGTACCCATGGTAGGTGCCTATACAAGACCTCTCATCACACTCGCTTCCCTCCATAAGTAGTTAAGGATTACAATCCAGGTTAATGACAAATATTCCACCCAAAGTGTAATAGCAAAAGAGCAATGGATGTCCGATTCTCTTGCCATTAATTACAATTTCTGGAAGGGGTCTTTGATCAGCAAGAAAACTACCAGACATTATGAGTTGATAACAAATTAACCTGTATAGTATCAAATGCATTTGTTTAACTTTAATTGAAATCCTTAACTCCAACCACTTTGCCCTATAGTGCACCATGTATGTGGTGGATCAGTTATCGTGTTATGTCCCTCCTCACACTGATTGTCAACTGCTGGCTGTTTTCCACTCACCAACAATAAGTTCGTGATTATGGAAATCATAATAAGCAGTCATGTGGAAAGCCATGTTGGTAAGAACCACTAAGTACTCCAAAAGAGCAAACACTGAATACACTGAAAACCAGAAAGAAGTTCAATTAATAAAAATAATTTGGGAAGCAAAACACAAGGCACAAATTATTATTTAGCCTAAGCTACTAATAATGCCTGTAACCTCACTCTTAGTTTTAATCTAGTGTGGAAAATTTATGAATCTGTATGCCTAATTCTAAGCAAGCAATTGTCGTGCCAACATCTGGCCACCACAGTGTCGATATAGTTCCCCGTGGCGGGGGCAGGAAGTTTGTACTTGGGCTAATTAAGACCCCTCCTACCCAGGCCAACTACAGACCTTTCCCAGAATGGAACAAGTTACAAAGGCCCGATAAGAACCATGCAACCCACAAAGGTCTCCAGCCCAGACATTACAAGGAGAAGCATCCAAACTGGGGAACGATTGTAATGAAAATCCAATCCACCTGAAATCTACCATAGGTTCCAATCCACCTGAAACATGTCCATGTGGGCAATGGTGAAATGGAGCTATGTAAAGAGAAGACTTCAAACCAAGTGACCATATTCTTGTAGACAGACTAACATCCTGCTAATGCAGTAAATGGATGGCATGTCTAGTCCATTCCTCCCCTTCTCTCAAAAATTCGATGGTAGCAGAAGTCCTACATTTTATTCCACCTGCTAGCTTTTAGATAGAGTATTTTTCCACATTCATCATTATTGGAAGAGTTCCTTCAGTATAGTCAATGATGCAAGTACTACAGGCTTTCATACCAGCTAGTAGTCAGACATTGGATGCCCAAACCTACACCTTACAATAAATTCTGACAATTGTAGGAGTCTAATATTAGAGACGAATGGGAAATTTGTACACGAGCGATATATATGCAGCACTATACTGTACTATGCATGTAACACCATTCACAGCTATGTAAATGTATGTGTGTGCACACGCTGTAAGTGAAAATAATTAGGACAAAAATTTAAGATGGCAGAGAAGGAAACTGTGTATTAAGCGAGAATGACGTAGTTGATGGTTACCACTGCATATGGTGGGGTTACCGCTATGACAGTACCAAGTGTTAGCATCCAACACTTTTTTTCTACAAAACAATTCTTTTAAACCTTATATTTTAAAGGCTGATTTTACCTACTAATTTCCTATGGCTTCTGTAACAATAACAAATCAGAATGATATATTCGATAATTTTAAATAAAGCCAGTCATGATGGGACTCGCTGAGGTAAAACACGACAATCATGAATCGCACCACAGAGGTCAAACCAGTCAGATGGGTCCTACACAAAAGGAAAAAAAAGTTCTGATGCACCCCCCCCAATAGAGGTAAAACATAAGGCATGATGGGGCCCCACCAAGTCAAATGTCTTCTTCCTACACCACCTTCCACAATGGCATTTATCAGCTAAGATTTTCACAGAAAATATGTAGGGCATTACTCTATACTGTAATATACCATGAAGGAAAGGAACATGTTCCTGACAATAGTAACTCAAAGGCAAGATAAAAGAAATCACATGGTAAACAATTGATAAAATATAGTAAAATCTAAAATTTACTTCATATTCATGCCAATATTGGTATTAGAAAAAGTATAGCTATGTATATCATTAACTTTTTAAATAGACATGCATTGATTTTCATCTGCTCTTGAGCACATTAGTGTACCTCACGTAGAAAAACTACTTTTTATATCTTTAATTCATTATAAACACACACCTACATTCTATATTTATGAATCGGGGGGAAAAAGGTGAAATTGACAAAATGAACAATATACAACTTACCTCATATTTAAGCGACTTTAAGAGATTATTTTAAATTAGGTATGAATTATAAAAAAGTTGAAGCCCTTGAATAGTATCCATTATTCTCAATAATTTCTCTATGAAATTAAAATAATAATCATATATGGTGCTGATATTGAAATAATTTTGAGTTACAGATTACACAAACTATTCTACTTACTTCCCGGTTCACAGTATGTGTTGTGACGATAAAAGAAGTAGAGCGCAACAAGGAAACATGCCAAATTAGCAGTCATCAGTTGTTTCTGCAACATGATACAAAGAGCTTATACAGTATGTACAAAACTTAAAAAAAAAGTCAGAAAGCTCTCTAGTTATTCAACTTGTATAGCGACATAACATGTTCAAACGGGTACATCTCTATATAGAAATACTATATTTAACCCTTCAGTAGCACAATTCAAATTTAAATCCTTTATTCATAAATGTACATTTATAGTTTGGTTAGTTTAAACAAACTTACAGTAAATTACTTACCTAAAAGTCATAATAGCAAAAATTAATAACTATAATTATATACTGAGAATTTTTATTTAGATGCTACATTTATCAATGATTTAAAAATATTACAGATGTCAAACTCAGATTAACAACTACATTCATAACTTCCACAAACCATCACAACAATGGCTCAACTAACCAGGCGTACAACATTCTACATCACACCTACATGTTTACCATAAAGTAATAGCAACCAACTTACTATTTGAACTGCAATATATATTGGTAAACAAAATAAAGTTTAGAAAGATAGATAGTGGCATAATTTATATAAAATTCGGATGATGAGCTTTGTCCGAGAATTCTTACAGACGCTCCACGACATTGCATATAGTCAGGTTATGAAATGTTACCTTTGCCATCAATAGATGGCTCTGATCCTCAAATAAACTACACCAAAAACATCATGTCTTCTCAACAGAAGAGCTGAGAATGTCTGCCCAACGTAATGGTTGTTAGTTTTTAGTGTGCACAGATACAAACATATCTACAACATTTGAATGAAGATGGCACTGATAGGAGAAGTCCAGAATAAAAATCAGGTAACCATTATTGAACATCAGATATAATTTATTGAAGTTTATTACTTGAAATAAGCCAATTTAATTAATTAATACTTGAACCAAATATCCTTAGTTTATTTTTAGAGTTATACAGTGGTACCTCGGAATGCGATTGTCCCTGTATGCGAGGTTTTCGGAAGGCGAGCAGTATTTACTCCAAAAATTTGTCTCGGAAGGCGAGGGTTACTTCGGGACGCGAGTTTGTTGATTCGCGTACAGGCCGACCTAGCGCGTGGTGGTTCGGCGATCGTCGCCCCCTCCGCCCCTCAGTTTACCATTGTCTCGCGCTCAGTGACTACCCCCACATCAATTCTTCTCGCGGATTTTCAGTGTTTTGTTTGATTTTTGGTGATTTGTCTATACAATTTGTTATTATATATCTCACCATGGGTCCCAAGAAAGCCAGTGGTAAGGATAAAGGCCAGAAAGCTCATGTGAGGATGACAATAGAGGAGAAACAAGAGATCATTCGGAAGCATGAGAACGGTACACGTGTTGTTGAACTTTGTAGGCAGTACAACAAAGCCACATCAACAATATGCACTATACTTAAGAAGAAAAATAAGATTATGGGTGCTAAAGTGGCAAAAGGAGTAAGAACATTAACGGCATAAAGACCACAAATACTTGAAGAAGTGGAAAAGTTGTTATTAATTTGGATACACGACAAGGAGTTGAGGGGTGATAGTGTTTCGGAGGCCATTATTTGTGAGGAAGCCAGGGTGTTGCACGAAGACCTTCTAAAGAATACCCCTGCAACGAGTGATGCAGATAAGAAAGAGTTTAAGGCAAGCAGGGGCGGGTTTGAAAAATTTAGAAAGAGAAGTGGTATCCATAGTGTTACAAGGCATGGGGTTATGTGATGTGATTATGGAAGGGGACTCCCCTTCCAAACAGTAACTCCTCTCCTCCTCCCCCCTCCTCACCATCTTCCATACGCCTACAGCACTCGACAGCAAGGTAAGTAATAACTGGAACACAGTTTTGTAGGTTTATTTAGATGAATTAGGTAAATTAGGTATAAAAATTTAGTTTGATGTGGGGTTTTTGGGGTAGTCAGGAACGGATTAATTCATTTCCCTTTATTTCTTATGGGGAAATTAACTTCGGAATGCGAGTTTTCGGAAGGCGAGGCGTCTCCAGGAACGGATTAAACTCGTATTCTGAGGTATGCCTGTATTTAATAATCGGCTATAAATCAACAAGCCAATATTTATTAAGCTTTATTAAGAAATTTAAAAACATAAGTAGCCGAATATTTACAACTGCATGCACACAACGAATCATACCTTTTTAATAAAAGCAAGTCGTTCTAGAGGAGAATTGAATCTTCTTGTATTATCCTTAAGTAGCAGGCAAGTAAGCACCATGTACAACTCGCTACACACCATGAACATGATAAACGATACTTTGTGAATATCTGCAAAAGATTAAACACTAGATAAATTACATATGTATGTAGGTTATATACACAATACATGAACATTCTGTATCCTTTAACAACATTAATTCACTGTGCAGTTTTTTTTCCACGTGCAAGACTCCCACAACACACTGCTGAACAGCTATGAGATCCAAGTGACTGTACATGTGACTGGTAAATCTAATGCTTGGATCTATTCCCAGTTCTTATTAATCCAGCACCTTATGACACCTTACCTCAAAAGTATTTCAGACAAATATAATATACTGTAATAAATACCAAGATTAGCTATGAATTAAAGTCTGGGGGAAACTTTACAAAAGTCTGACATCAGCACACTTACCATAGTTTTCCTTGGACGAGACAAATGAAAGACTGAGAAGAGCGACGTTTTCAACAACATTTAGGAATGAGTTAACTTTCACTGCTTTCTGCAAAAAAATACAAGAACCAAATAAATCAATTTCACATCAGAAAATGAAGTAAAGCCAAGATATAAAATACAAATTATGAAGATTCTTACTAAGAAACAAGTGAATATTTGTAAACAAAATTAAATCTCAAGCCCTTAAATAACTTTTCTTCTTTCCACGGCAAATCCACTGTGGTTAAATAGATGAGGTGAACATGGAAAATCTATTCCATATGCCATAACCAGAATGAGGGCAAAAGGTTGAAGTTGGAAATAAAGTCAATTATGGAAGAAAGTTGGTAATATGCAGTAAGGGTGATAAGCAAGTAGAATGAATTGGAAGAAGTGGTGGTGGTGTAAACCTCATCCACACATAGCTTTAAGAATGAATACAACAGAGCAACAGAATGTAGATGAATAATAAATACACCAGGTACAAAATATTGTTGTTTGAAAGTGGGACCCCTAGAGCCAAGATCTCATTCCCTGTTGGCAGTTAAGCAAAATTAACATTTTGATGCAGATTAGCATAGATTACCAAAGGTAATGAGTATCCATAAGTACAAATCATAGCAGTGTTGATCATGGTGAAAGTTATACTATTGTGGTAATGTATACCTATTATTATATATGTCAACAATCCGCACAAATGAGGCAATGATAATTGCAATTATTCTTTCAAATGAGGAACACACAAGCAAGACAAAAACCTAGAAAAACAAACATCAGCAGAACTTGACATACTGTTGCATAATAGTGTAAACATTAGAATTCACGAGTCTATTTATTCTTGCTGCCTCCTAAATGAAGGCACTGCAAATAATTAAGTCAGAACTTACTTGATAAAAGGCAACATTAGGCAGAATGCGTTGCATAAAGGAGTAATACATTGAGGCAATAAGAAATCGAGGAGCCGAGTGGACAGCAATTGCAGCTCTCCATATGTACCGTTGAGGAACAAACTCTCCAATTGCTGAGGATATTGATGGCAGGTAGTTTGGAACCTAGTAAAATTAAATCATGCTGTAGAAAGTCATATACTGTATACAAGTACTGTATCTTAATTTAATTCAGGTGTTTCAGATTCATAATGTTCATTTATATAAAGGAACAAACAGTTATGGTTCAATTGCATGTAATAAAAAATGTATCCAAGGACTGGTATACATTTCCATATGAACAAGGTGTTGTAACAGGTTGGTGCAACAAGCTCACAGGAAGAAGCCAAGGGCACAAGGAGTGGGGAATAATGAGCACACAGGGTTATCTTGAGATGATTTCGGGGCTTTTTTTAGTGTCCCCGCGGCCTGGTCCTTGACCAGGCCTCCACCCCCAGGAAGCAGCCCGTGACAGCTGACTAACACCCAGGTACCTATTTTACTGCTAGGTAACAGGGGCATAGGGTGAAAGAAACTCTGCCCATCGTTTCTCGGCGGCGCCTGGGATCGAACCCAGGACCACAGGATCACAAGTCCAGCGTGCTGTCCGCTCGGCAGACCGGCTCCCTACCGACAGGGTGGGGAGAACAAGTACACAGGGGTGGGGGGGATGAGTACATGGGGTGGGGAGTAAAAACGAGCACACAGGGTGGGGGCAACAAACACACGGGGCAAAGAGTACAGCTCATGTAGAATAAAGTCATCGGTCTCCAAACACTTAAAATTACCGACATATTTAATGGACTACACAAAATTTATGCTTTATTAGGTTCACTGCAAGTCTTAACGTACAAATCAATAAAGATAATGTTCTATAAAATGATGTAAGAATGACCACTGTACATATTCAACTTTTCTAATTATCTGCCCCAGTGCTATCATGCAATTTAAGCACAGTATATCCACCCGATACAAGTAACATGTTTTTTGTTGGTGCCGATATCTATAGACTGGCAACTACCTGGTGTCCAACTTTCCTTTAAAGAGCTTAGAGCCTGTAATGATAAGAGTGTAATGATTTCAGAGAAGTATCATTTGTTGTATGAAAATATCCGAGAATGTGGTGATAAATAGGTTTACTAAAAATTACAAGTATTCTGTGAGGAATCCTCTTAATCTGGACCACATCTAGAATAAATTAGCTCAAAATTTGAAGGTTGTACTGTATACCTACGGCATATAATCCACTACAGAAGATTTCCCTTGCAAACAGACACCAAACAATATGCACTTACCCCACAATGGGTAGCAGTCGATACATCAAAGTTGTACCGTAAAGACAAATATATACAGAGAAAAAAGGCTCCTAGGGGCAAGGAGACAGTAATCACTGCCATACGCGCAACAGAGATGCGGACAATCGCATCGGAATCTGACATTGTACTTCTGGTGCAACTTCTGAAAGAAAACAAATAAATAAAATGCTGCAAGCAGGAAGCAAAGCAGCAAATCATAACTAGATTCATATACAGTACTCTATATATAAATAAAGGGTTCAGCATTTGTTAATTGCAGAGAACAAGACAGATTAACATGGCTCAAGTACATAACCCAACCCACACACATGTAGTGGAATTAAAGTGACTGTTTTAGTCCATGACTTTATAAGGGTCCAGGATGGACTGAAATAGTGTCACTCTTTTCATTTCATATGTGTGGGCTAGGTTATTTGTTTCCCTATACAGTAGTTTGAGGAATCTTAATGCATTACAGAATACTGCATAGACAAAAATATTATGAATGAATTGCCTAACATTTTTATCTAAAAATATAGTACTGTATTTAGATTGTTTGATTCATTTTATGTTATTATTAATTTATACAACTGCAAGAATTATAGCACATTCAACACTACCACAAACTTTTGATATTTAAAGGTTTTCCAAGATTTTTTAATGAGCAGAAATGCACAGTTGTAATGAATCTGTGAAGAATGAGTAGCAACAGCTGTGTAAAAGGCAGGATGCAGGAAAGAATGAAAAGATGCAATGTGTATGATCCTTAAAAGCTCCCAAATAATGCAATTACTGTATCTGTAACAAAAGGCACATTTTGCATCAGAACAGTCCTTATTTCTTTACACATGATGCTTATATATGCAAACTAATTTATTAATATCTTAACATAAATCAGGTTCTTTGTACCATATGGAGTATATATTTGCACCTAACAAAATGGCAAGTGCATTTGTAAGAATTTTATTTACTG